GAGAGTTCTTAAGTTTTACATGCAGCCTCTCTTGATAGAGGTACGAAACTTGAAGTAAAACCTTGAGAGTTCTTAAGTTTTACAAGGACTTGCTTCTCGTAGCAATTTTTAAGTTATCGAATTTAAGTCATTCAGTACTATGATTTAGTTGTATTCCTCTTTATTTAGAAGTGAGAACTCTAAGCTAATTAAGCTCAAACATGAGCCAGTCATATTGGCTAAAATAAATGTGCTCTCGTAGTCATAGTACTATAGTCCAGTGATATATTTGTTACTTATAAGTGAAATATTTTAAATTCAATTCTTGTTGATGGCTATTTGAATTAAATTATTATAGTCGACATATTATGTAGCTGCTCACATGCCTTATCATTTAGTGAAAACAGTTGGGGGTCAAGCCATGGAAACTTTTTTTTAAGGCTAAGAATACTCACATATACATTTTAGCCTTTCTAACTACCATCGTATCGTGTGATTCACTAGTGCTAAAAATCAAACTCACTAACCGTGTAAAATAAATACTTGAAATTCGTCTCAATTAGTGCCACTGAGCCACTACGTAGTAGTTAGACTAGGTTTGTATTTTACTCTCTACAATTTAGATGAAAGAGTATCTTTTTATACAGGAATAAATAAAAACTCCGAGCGAGGGTAATTTCGTAAGTTTAGATAAGAGCGCCAAAGAGTTTGATCAACAAGGCTATGGCTGGCAAATTAAAATTAGGGTTTATCATTCTTCGTCTCTGAAAATTCACAATTATGACAATTCACGCGGGAATCCTCTGCTTCAAAACCCAAGTTCAGTTTCCCTGTCGGCTTCTCCCCCTGACCTGGTGAGAAATTTCTTCACTTTCCAAATGTTTCCGTCTTTGGTGTGTTTGGTTCCCGAGAAAATGAAGGAAAGGGAAAAAAGTTGCTTTAAAATTTTCCATCTTTTGAATGTTTCTGTATTTTTTGACATAAATTTGTTAATTAGTGTGAAGTTTAAAAATTTTGAAAAACAAATCCCAAATTGGGTAACAGTTGTGTGACTTGGGTTGTTGATTCTCAGCCCGTAGCACCGAATATCCGCATTTGTGATTTTCCTATCTGTTTTCTCAGGAACCAAACAGAAAATTAAGCTTAGAACTGAGCTAATGGCCATTGAAAGTTTGTATTTTATTACTAAGTTCGTCATTTGTTGGGATAGGAGGAAATGTGCCGTCACATGCTTGCAGAACAGAGATTACAGTTCCTCGGCTCCGGTTAGGTACATTCCGAAAAATTCTTCGAAAGTTAAGAAATTGGAAAGTTCTCCACAGACAAAGGGTTCTGAAGAGAAAGAGTTCCGTGAATTTGCGGAGGTTAAACAGAGTGGAAGAAGGGTGCGTAAAAGCCTGGACTTCAACGAGAAGCCTCAAAATCAGAATCAAAATCGATATAGTAACTCATCGTTTAGTGATGCTCAGAAAGGTATTCTGTTCTTTAACTCAATTGAAAATAAAACATTCATTGTGTAACATTCAGACATAGATGTATGATTGCATCAATACATGCTCTTTCACCTGGAAATTGTTCGTGTTTCTTCAGTTGTCATGTTTTGTTTGGGATTTGTTTATGCAATAAACTCAAACGATTTTCTTGAAAAACATTATAGCAGCTCCAGATTTGAAGGATCAGACGAATCATCTTTCGGGTGCTGTAGGCTATGAACTCATGGAAGAGCCTGAAGAGGTTTTTGAAGAGTTAAAGGGTTCTAAAGAAAAAGAGTTTCCTGAATTTTCGGATGCGAGCGCACTGAAGCGTGAGGTTAAACATTGGGGAAGAGGTGTGCATAAAAATAGGGTACTGAATGAGAAGCCTCAGGATCAGAATCAACAGAGTTCTAAAAAAAAGAATCGGAATCAAATTCAATATAGTAACTCATTGTTTAATGATGTCCAGAAAGGTACGTTATTTGTCTAACTCAAGTGAATAGAGCAATTAATTGCGTAACATACAGCGATTTTTTAGATATATGATTGGATTTACATAAATGAATGCCCTTTTGCCTAGCAATTGTAGCTTCTTTGTTATTGTTTGTGTTTAGTTGTGAAGTTTCATTTCGGGCTTTGTTTATGCACTCAAGCCCCATTTGCTTCAAAACATTTTAGAATCTCCAGGGCTGGAAGATCGGAATGATCGTATTTTAGGGGCAATAGGCTATGAACTCATTGAAGAGCCTGAGGAGGTTTTCGAAGAGTTAAATATCCTTGAAGAGAAAAAGTGTCCTGAGCAAGGTGTAGTGCAAGGTATAAAGCATGATGCTGAGCAAGTGGCAATAAAATTACTTGCAACCAGGTTAAAAATTTCCAAAACTTCATAGCCCTGTTTGATATGTGTGCGTTGTACATCAGTATGTGGTGTAGTGTTTCCGCAACTTCATAGCTCTGTTTGATATGTGTGCAATGTATCATTACGTGGTGTAGTGTGCTAGAATGTTAAAGGGCATGGATACTTCCAAGGTACATGATTTTGCGAAGTTTCTGTAACAGTGCTTGAGGACATGGATCCCTGGACTTAAGTTGCTGTAACAGTTTGAAATAAGGGTGTTTATCTGTGAAGTGTGAATGAAGAAGATTTTTTTTTTATGTAGTTCTTTTCCTTTTTAGGGCTTTCACGGCAGTTGAACTGAGAAAGAAGTTATGTGGAAAGAATTTTCCTCTAGGTACCGTCGAGGCAGTGATAGATGACTTCATCAGCAGGTATTTTCTAGTTACAAGATGTCCCTTTTTAAGAGCTGCTCATCAGCCATTTTTTCTGCAAACAACCTTTGTTTGAAAACTTTGCATACATGAGTAACTATGTCACAATGATCTTAGAAACTGGTGCGTACAGGCAATGCAAGTTGTAAGACTGGTTCGCCTACCACTTAAAAGAAGCACAAAAAAAAAAGCATTATAGAAATCTGGAAGCACCAATTATATGAAAACCAAGTGGCCCGAAAGTCTTCTAGACCATAGTTAAATCGTTTTTCTTGCTAGCAATCATGTCAATCGTTATTGTCAAAATCATGTCAATAATGTCAATTGTAGTGACAAATGGAGTACAAAATGTGTAAAAGAAAAGAACATCTGAACAAATGGCATGCATAACACCACAGGGGCTTTCTAAGTACCTGGATATCCCTTCCCATCTTTTTTTTCTTTGAACCAGTCGTTATTGAATGACTGGTACCACCATATAATTGATTTTTCAATTGTACTGATCTCTAATTATGTGTTTATGTTTTCTGGAGTTATTTTATCATTTACATAAGTGAAGTTCCAAAATTTCATTTCATTATATATGATATCTTCGGTGATTTTGACCTTGAAATTTATTGTAGAGGCCTAATCAATGATAGCTTGTATGCGGAAGCATTTTCTCGTTCCAGATGGTCTTCCTTAAGTTGGGGACCAAGGCGAATAAAGCAAGTAAGCCACTATTTCTGTATGAAGAGAAATGTCCTAGACTGAGATGAGTATTTTAGATTCATACGTTGAAGGACTCAGATTGACATGTTAAACCTCGTTTTTTTATTAGAGCTGTCCCATTTAAGCAAGAGTAGTCATGTTCATATTGCACTAGGTAGTCGGCCCTTGTTGGAGTCTTTATTTTAAAAATCTAATTAGACCAATAAGCAAGCGTAATTGCTAGAGTCCACTATTCATTTTAGCAAGGGTAAAATGTGTGATTATATGTAACAAAAAGCGTTATTGTTGGTTCAGGCACTTTTTAACAAGGGAGTGAGTAATGTTGATGCTGAGAAGGCAATTAAACTGGTTTTTGAGGAGGGAAAACCAGATGAGGATGAGGAGTTAATTCATGGCCTGTCGAAGCTCTCAATGGATAATTTAGTTGTTCAAGCCTCAAAGCAGTGGCTCCGAGGTCAAGAAGTGCCTAAAGAAACAAGGAAATCAAGGATTGTTCGTTGGCTTCAGTATCGCGGATTCAGCTGGGGTGTCATCAGCTTCATATTAAAGAAGTTAGAATCTGAGTAGCCACCCTAGAGCACAATGAGGTTCTATCTTTTCCGTGACACATAAGAACAAAAGGGTACTGTCCATAACCCTCAACTGGAATGTTAGTTGTGTAGTATGGATAGGGTTTTGGTCTATAATGTCACTTGCTGCTGCGGCCAGAAAACACTCAGTCTGGTGGTCTAACCGTTACCGGTGTCGGACATATATTGCGTTAGCCTAGCCTGGCATCACCTAGTTTAATTGGGGTGAGGACTACCTTACTGACAACATATAGGTAGTAGACAACCCAGAAGTGGGCACTACTTAGCTGTCTTTTGATAGGGTACCACCATTTTTTGGCTGAAGTCAGAAAATCTCATGTCTTCATGTATTGTGAATAATGAAACTCAGTTGTTTGTGTTCCTAAATCCGAAAATTTGAACCGTTCTATTTGTTTCCATACTTTTGGCTGTTTTTGTACCTCTTAAGAAAGAATGCAAGGGCACGTTTGAAATGCTCCTATAGAAAACTCTTCTGCTCGTAAGCGATATTGCTTAAAGTGGATTTATTAGAAGAAAACACTTGGAAGTGCTTCTTTGGGAAACACTTTCTAAGTGCTTCTCCAATAAACATTTGCAAGTGCTTCTGCACTTACAACCATAAGCACTTCTAACTTTTACGGCCAACCATGAAAGTACTTTTAGCCATTCTGAAAAAGCACTTCCAAACCGACCCTAAACGTAGACCTCTGCAATATGCTCAAAAAGTGGATTCAAATCCATGTGCAGCTGTAATGTTATGGAACAGTTTACCTGGTTTTGTGTATTATATATATATACACATATATGTAAATATATGTATATATATATGTATGTAGAGGTATAATGGTCCTGCTTTTTTCTACATGTGCTTCCGATCATGACATACCAAGTCTTCTAATCCAAGATTAGTAGATTTATTTGCTGGAAAGTCTTGTTTTTCAGATAAGCACATGGACGTGATGTGGAGTGGGGATGGGGGACCATGTGAGAGCTTGGCTGGAAAGAAAAATATGGCGTGGAATCTCATTCCCTTTCTCCTTGCATTAAATTCTAATTGCATAAATCCAAAAATACTAATCATTGTCTACACTTCTACATACATGCCCTGAATTTAGTCTCACTCCTAATCACGAGAGGAACTTGTCAGACGTCGCCATGTGTTTTAACTTCCTCACGTCGCTTTGCGGGATTGGTTTGGGCACGCAGGCCCCTTGATTTCCCTGCTTGATGTAAGTCCTTTCAAAAGACAGTTAAGCTAGTCTCCCTTAAACGCCGTTCCTAGTGGGGAGGCAATTAACTATTTCAATCTAACCACAAATAATGAAAAAAAAAAATTGAAAATTACACTAAAAATGCTCTAATATTCTTCCTTGCTCTATGGGATTTTGATTCCCCCTAAATATATGAACATTAGTAGGTGAACTACGAAGCACTTTAGCTTCTCATTGAGACCTTGAATCTTCAGAGAAGGCAAATGAGTAGTTAGAAGAGCATTGTGAAACTGCCTTCCTAGCAGGAGGGGATGCCAGAATTGCTTGCAACCCTCCTCCCTTTAACAACTCCGGTTCCGGCCTTGCGCAGTCTACATGTCGAATTTCCTTGAGCATTGCAACGACATCCTTCATCATCGGGCGTTCATCAGCACGGTTGCTGACACAGAGAAGCGACACAGCTAGTGTCTGCTGCATTTCGTGCATCGCAGGATCAGATCTTCCCCTGAGCTTTTGATCGAGAATGTCAATCGGGTCTCTCTTGCACGCTAAGTGGTCCCGAATCCACTGAACTAAATGTGCACCTTTGGGAAGAGTTGGGTCTAATGGATGCCTTCCTGTTAGTACCTCTAAAAGAACAACGCCAAAACTGTAGACATCACTCTTCTCAGTGATACTTTGCATTGATGCATGCTCTGTAATCACCAAAAATGAAAACACGAAAAACAATAGTTAGCGATTTAATGGCAAAAATTTGGTAAGAAGATTAGGAACTGACTAAACTTTGTTGAAAGTAAACATTACCTGGAGCCATGTATCCATACGAACCGGCCAATTGAGGCCGATGACTTGTTTTCGAAAATTCATCACCACCATTGCTGTTCACAATCCTAGCTAATCCAAAGTCAGCAAGATACGGCTCATGGCCAGGACCCAACAGAACATTCATGGCTTTCACATCACCATGCAGAATAGCCGGCACACAGTCATGGTGCAAGTACGCAAGTGCATGAGCCACGCCTAAAACAATATCGTATCTAGCCTCCCAATCTGCTCCTCCTTTCCTGGAACCATGTAGAAGCGAGCTCAAGCTTCCGCTGGGAAGGTAATCATAGAACAGAATTTTCAGGTTTCGGTTTGAACCCCAACCCAAGAGCCGGATGATGTTCTTGTGCCTGATTGATCCGAGCGTCTGAATTTCGGAATTGAATGCTCCTGACTCTTCTGATGACCACATCTTCTTCACTGCTAGAGTTTCTCCATTTGGAATTGTCACCCTGTATACAACCCCAGAGCTTCCGGTGCCAATCACATTCGATGATGTCAAACTCCTGACAATGTCATCTATAGAGAAATCGAGCTTCTGGTACAAGGTTATTTCCCAGCTGTCATCTTTCCTGAGAATATTGCTAGCTATTCGCGCACGGACTAGGGTGTAGACTGCAAGCAGGAGAAGAGCTGCAGTGACACAAATGAAAACCGATGTGATCAGCTTCACAACTGATCTATTGTGCTTTGATCCCATCCTATCAGCTGGAGTTGTGACTCCGCCGGAGATGTAGAGACCTGTGTTCTCAGCAAGGTCACTAAGAGGGAGTTTCTGAAAGAATGGGGTGTTAGGCAATTCGCCGGATAAGTTATTGAAAGAGACATTGAGGGAAACAAGGTTTTGAAGGTTTGTGAGAGTGTTCAAGTTTCCGGAGAGCTTGTTGTGGGAGATGTCAAGGGTTCCTAGCTTGGTAAGACTAGATAACTCGGATGGGATTTCACCCGAAAATAGGTTGCAGCTTAGGTTGAGGGATATTTCGAGCGAAGGAATTTGACCAAGTTGATTTGGAATTTCACCTGAGAAGCCATTGTTGCCAATGTCTAGCAATTGAAGCTTACTGCAAGAGAGGATCTCTGCTGGGATGCTGCCAGAGAGCTGATTCTTCCCGAGATTGAGTTTTGTCAATTCGGTTAATGATCCAATGCTGGGAGGAAGCTGACCGGTGAGCCTATTATCGGAGATGTCAACAAACTGCAGGCTTTTAGGCAGTGTGTCAGGGACAGAGCCGGCGATCCCATTCGAATGGAGATCAAGAAACTCAAGGTTCTGACATCCTGATATCGATGGAGGGATTGCTCCAACGAGGCGGTTGTTGCTCAAATCAACGAAATTCAATCTCTTCAAGTTGCCAATCTCCGATGGAACAGTACCTGCCAGCCGATTACGATTCAACCTTAACCTGTACAGGTTTGTGCAGTTTCCTATATCCGGCGGTATAAAGCCAGATAAATCATTGGAAAGCAGCAGAATCTTTGTGAGATTTCGTAATCCGAAAAGATTTCTTGGTATTGAACCAAATAGGTTGTTGTAAGAAAGATCAAGAGCCTGAAGATCCTGACAGTCTGAGAGACTCTCAGGAATGTTGCCCGTAAGCCTATTTTGCCACGCGAAAAATAGAGTTAAGCCCTTGAGGTTGCCAATGAGAGCAGGAATCTCCCCCGAGATGTCGTTGTTGTCAACTTCCAATTGAGTCAGAGCAGTGCAGTTTGAGATTTCAGAAGGTATAGTACCTGATAACTGATTGACACTCAGCTGAAGCTCTTGAAGATTCGAAAGCTCACCAAAGCTTTTAGGTATTTGTCCTGTCAGAAGGTTTTCTGAGAAGTCCAAGACTGTGAGCTCTCTGCAGCTTCCAAGCTCATTTGGGATTGAACCCACCAAGCTGTTCTGCCACAGCAACAGACTCTGAAGCTTCCCGAGCTCTCCAATTCGCTTTGGGATTGGACCGGTGATGGAGTTCTGATACAAGTACAGGTTCAGCAGCTCGCTGCAGTTTCCGATTTCTTCAGGGATTGGACCAGACAGCAGAGATGTGTATAAGGCTATCGTTCGGAGTCTTTTGAGCATTCCAATCGACGTGGGAAGGCTTCCGGTAATGCCGGTTTCAGCAAGGCCTAACATGACCAAGTTGGTGCAGTTTCCAATCTCCCAAGGTATCTCACCATTGAGATTCTTGTTCCCTCCTGCTCTGAAAACTTCTAGCTTTCTCAATTCTCCAACACTCTTTGGAATTTCGCCGCTGAGTTGATTGTCATAGAGTGTAAGATACACAAGGCGCGAAAGATTTCCGATGCCGGAAGGGATTTTGCCTTCGAAAAGATTCGTATTGAGAGATAAAGTTTGCAGCTGGGTTAGGCTGCATATTTCTTCTGGGATTTCACCAGAGAGAGAATTGTCACTGAGATCAACGACCCTAAGCTCGTGATACTCTCCAAACTGTTTTGGAATCGGGCCAGTGAGATTCGTCGAAGAGAGGACAAGAGTCTTTAAGGACTTGAGAGGTTGAAAGTTTGAAGGCAATGGACCTTGCAATTCCAATGCCTTCAACGTTATCTCCTCCACTTCTCCGTTGGAGCTGCAGCGAACCCCGAACCAGCTGCATGGACTTGTGTCGGAAGGATTCCACGACCTCAATGTGTCCGTGGAGCCGTTTAAGCTGTTCTTCCATGATAGAAGAGCTTGGCCTTGTTCATCAATGGAGTAACAAGAAGAAAAGAAGAAGAGAGAGTTTATTGAAAGAAGTAAGGCGATGGAGAAGATATTGGGAGAAAGCAAGAGATTCCTTAGAGTTGCAGGCATTGCTGGTGAGAGAAGAGAGAAGAAAGAAGAGAGAGAGAGAGAGAGAACAGCAGGTCATCTGTTTTGGGATTGTAGAGGGAGGAACCCCATGTATTGTTTATAGAAGAAAATAGCAGAAGATCTGGATCCAAGCGCTACTTCATTATTCTATTAATTAATATTGTTGTTAATTTTAGGGATGGTGATGCAGATGGGGGACTTTTGGTTTTATTTATGTAAGTCTGTTTATTTTTGAAATGGGCTAGACTAACGAAGTGTTAGTGTGACGTGTTAGTGTGACGGTTTCTCGAATCAATAGATATTGTTACATGATAAATTTAAATACATAAAAATATATGATTAACTTTGAATACTGCTACATTAATATATCGTACCTAAGTTTTTTGTCTACTTTTCATTGTTATTTTGTGTACACAAGTAACTTACTTTTACCGGGTGTAAGTACAGTCAGAACTCACATTGATGTTGCTGAATGTCATGAAAGAAAAATTGCCCCTTTTTACTGCTCATTTTGACAATTAAAATATTTTGTTTCCTCTTTTGAGGCATTTGTTTTCATCCCATGTCCAAGCATTAATTAGTTGGATAAAAACAGACATGCTTTTTGGGGGACTGATTGATACACTGAAGAGTAAAATCAGCCCTTGACTCTTATCAAGGATAAAAACTTGGGCATAGGCGTAGCCGAGGATGTATCTCCTCTCTCAATCTCGCTTTTTCTACATGAGTGAAATAAAAAGACAGCGATATCTCCGATCACATGTAAGAATCTTCCGTTATTCAACAACACTGTTCAGAGTTTTCAGACTTTGATAGCTCAGTGATCAAAACCAGCTAGATGTATTTAGCTCTGGAAATTGTTAATCAAGAGGACAACATCTTTCTTAAATAAGCCAGGTCCCAAAATTGTGGTCCAGCAATTTTAGTGGTCAGCAATATTTGCTGAGCCAGCCATATCTAATTAATTTGATAGCTTGCTCAATTGCAGCAAATTTTGTGGTGATTGAAGGAGCTGAAAGCTGATGAGTACCATGTTCCTATTCAATTGAGGAAACACATTCTTGGTGGAATTAATAACTTCATAAAGTAACAACAGATTTTACAGATAAGTGGATAAAAACATTTACTAATGTATTTGAAGTCTTGTGTTCGATTTACTAACCTATATATCGCTTGTATGAAAAGAAAAAAAGGACTTCAACAAGTACGTAGCAGTAAAAGAAATAAAGATCTAGAATTTAGTCTGAATACTGAACAAGATTACGAAAGGAAAACTGAGTTTTTGTTTAAATTTCGTTTATTTATTTACTTAAAATTTAAACCCATGTTTTTTTTTTGAATTAATGACTTCATCAAATATGTAAACTCGTATCTCTGATAGCAGATATCTAGCCAGCATATAAGGAGCAGGACTGCTGCATATGAGCAGTAAAAAAGAAAGAACAGAGAAAAGATCTATAATTTGGTCTAAATATTGAACATGATTAGAAAAGGCCAAGTGGGTTTTGGTTAATTAAGAAATAAAATTAAAAGAAAGTAAATTATTTATTTATTTAATGGGAATTTACTTGAATTTCAGGGATCTTGAGAGATTATTTTGTACAAACAGCATGGGAGAATATATAGTAATTTTGTAAAAGCACATGGAATAGTGAAGTGCACATGAAATATTGAGGAATATTGAGAAATATTTTTGAAATTAGTTTTTTTAACCATTTTAATAAACTGCAAATATGCTGTCGGGAGGGTCTTTGCTGGAAAGGATTAAAAGAAAAACAAAGAAAGGAATGGTGGCCGGCCTCATTTGGAAGGAACAATGTCACACAAACTCAGAGTTTTTAAGTAATTAATTTAGTATTTAGGCACAAATCAAAACCAAATTACCTACAGAAAACAAATAGAGCTTTGTTTAATCAATAATGTTGCATTATTGCTGTGTCACGGGTTCCGTTGGAGTTTAAAATTATTAGTGTATTTTAGTTACATGTGTTTGGTTATTTCTTGGGATTAATGGGTGGTGATAATTTGATTCCTTTGTCTCTCTTTCCATAAATAAATGATTGTGCATATTATTCTCTCTTTAAATTAACAGAAATTGAGCATGTATAATGGTACAGTTCAAGAATGTAGTTAATAATAATTGCTTGTAGCTAACCATGCATGGTCCATACAAATATTTACAGATATAGACCTTTCAAGGTTGGACATAACTTTTAGAACAAATACTCTTTTGATTTGATTAGGGATCCTTGGGACACTTCAACTGTAAATTGTCATTCACTTTCTCTAAGTTATTGTACACCTTACATTACATGAAATCAAAATCATCCCTGATATTTATTTATTTATTTTATCAATCATCCCTGATATTGCACACTTCATATATATATATATATATATATATATATATATATATATATATATATATATATATATATATATATATATATATATATATATTATGGTCCTCATGTGTGCTTCACTTCTAGGAATTTGGGAAACTTCCAATTTCTCTCCTTTTATGTTTAATTCATTATAAGCAATATACACGAACATCTTATGCACTATAAGACCATAGTTGATGGGTACTATGCATGGAATTAGTATATACATATGTTGGGAGTATGAATCCATGTCATGAGAGCAAATCTTAGCATTACTAGAATACCGGCACATTGTATAATTAGTACACGTGTTATAACACACGAATCATGAACTACAAGTTTATAAAGTTCCTTTCTTAATGTAAAGTATAAAAAAAAAATGTATAACATGTGAATTTATAATATCATGCACGTTCCCATATTTCACTATCTCACAATAGTTTATCCTCTATCAATTGCCATTAATTTTCAATTAAAAGTTCAAATCGTAATAGTTGTATGTGTGAGCTTGCAACATGCATGAAATGAATACAAGTACGATTAAAAAGCAAAAGAAAAGTTAGGAAAGAAGCATTTGGTAGTAAAAAAAGGGAAAGGGATCCTTTCCGGATCCCTTCCTCCTAATCCACCAAATCAGGGGATCCGTGCCGTTGAAATTTGATCCAATGGCTACAAACAGGGGTCCACTTTAAAAGTTATAATAACTTCAGTCGTTGGATCAAATTTCAACGGCACGAATCTTCTAATTTGGTGAATTAAGAGGTAGGGATCCGGAGATGATCATTTTCCTAAAAAAAAAAGGTCTAAAAAGAGAAGGATCTATATTTGTATATGAGCAGAGTAGGAGAAAAGAGACAATAAAAAAAGGGAGAGAAGGATACCATTGAAGGGCTATAGGCAAGAAAACCATTAACTGAATGGTCCCTTCATCAACCCCACTTCTATTGTGATATTTTCTCCGTGAAAAGCAAAGGCTTCCTATCTAGTTAGAAATAAAGGATTATTTTGTAGGATACAAAAATTTGCTGTGCACGAATGGAAGTGATGTCACTTTTTCACTTTGCAGTAATTGGTTTAGTGGAGATATATTTACATACCATTTTTAACTCCTCATATATTTTTCTTTATTTTTTGTCATCAGATTGAATAAATCAAATAGAATAAATAATCGTAATTAAACAGAAGTGTGTAAAAGATCAAAAAGGCATGTATTTATTATTTTCGAGTGAAATTGTGCACTGCCGGTTGAAAAAGAAAGGAAGTTTGTCAAACTTTCAATTATTCATTTTCTTTTCTCTTCTAGAAATTTTATTGTCATCATTAGATTGAAAAAGAAAGGAAGTTCAATCATGATAATATGTCTAATGATCAAAAGGTCAAGAATAAAAAAATAATGTGACACTTGAGCTTAGTCGAAAACCATTATATGAAAGGATGAATATAATATACACACACAGACACACAGACACAGACACATATATATATATATATATATATATATTTATTTTTTTTTTTTCATTCTGCATGTAAGCAAGTAATTAATTAAGAACAATGAGTTTTAAGGATAAACCTTGTATATATTTATAGATAATTCATAAGATGTTCATGTGAATATACTAGCTCACAAATAATTGATGGAAATATGAGAAAAGTGGTTTGGATCTGGATCGCAATATCTTTTAGATTTGAGATCCGACATCCAATATATTCAGAACCAAAGAGCGTTGGAGGAATCTGAGATATTGAAATGTAATAGCAACAAATATAAAGGGAGGCACATGACATGAACTTGGCCCTGCTGGTTTAATATAACGCACTAGCTATAGGATTATAGTGCCATTCGCTGCTGCATGCATGATGCAAATATATAGAAGAAGAAAAATAAGATATTTTGTGGACATCATGCTTTCTGGTTTTGTTAGTGCCATGTTACAACCTCCCTTAGTGCAATTTATTTAATTGTTTTGCCAGTTCTGATTTTGGCATGAGAGAGAGAGAGAGAGAGAGAGAGAGAGAGAGAGAGAGAGAGAGAGAGAGAGAGAGAGAGAAGGGTGGGTTGTTATTTGTTTATATATAAGCTTTTCATATGGAATTGTATAAATGGAGTCTATATACGTAGGACCAGCTTCTCATCAGAGATTTTACTTTACTGTTTACGGTGCTATGTAAGCAAGGATCACTATACAGACTATACAATGGTATTATCGATATATAATGATGCAATCAATCCTGCTCAGTGAATAGTGGAGCGGGATCTCTCTTGAAAATGGGTTTACAGTTTATATTTTTCCAAAAACTTTAGCCAACCAAGACAGTGATCAACAAGCATATAAAATGGCTTCCCATCATCATACGCTGAATTGCTGATCGAGAATATCAGTGTATAATGTATACGATAGTGAGAGAGGGTTTCTTTGGAAATGCACATGTGGACCCTAGACATTTTGTCATTGGCTCTTGGCACACGTGTTCTGGAGTGGGAAAATTGGATGGAACCCTAATTTTTTAGTCTCAGAATAACAATAAGGTCCATTATTGATCCAACAAGATTTGTCATAGGTGATCTCATCTACAAAATCCATACGCTTGCCATAAAAAATAAAGAATTTTTTTTTGGATAAGATTATTACTACACCATGCATGCTGTTACACACACACACAGATATATAGGGTTAAAAATTCAGGGAATACACGTTTTTTATACACTTGCCATAAAAAATAAATATTTTTTTTTTGGATAAGATTATTACACCATGCATGCTGTTACACACACAGAGAGATATATAGGGTTAAAATTCGGGGAATACACGTTTTTTATA